ATCCTGCTTCTTCTGCCAGTTTGTTGGTTATCGCCTACCTGTAAGTCTTCGAGTTTGTGTACCACTAAACATAAATCCTTCACGCTCGAAATCCACATCTTCTAGAGTCTTCTTATCAGTGATCCAATCAATGTATAAGGGGGATAATCAGGTGTTTTGAAGATTAGCGTGTGTCTTGTTGATCAATATATACAATTCCACCTTACTATTTTCTTTATCCTCTCTTTTTAGCTGACCACAGTTTTTCCCCAGCACTATTATATACCACCGATTGAGTGATTGACTTTTTATGGTGCAATAAAAAACAGCTTGGTCTGGTCAAATAGACACTACTACTACTATAACCTTGACATTATTATGAAGGTGAATGATGATTTTTTTAGTAGACGCATAGAAAGAAAAATACAAACAAACAAACACCCTATAAGAAACTGTAATTGCATTCCATCAGCCACTCACTCATACACGCAAACACACACACAAACACAAGAGAAGACAGATGGACAGCTTTAAAACAACACTAATCAACTTATCAGATAGTTTAATAGACAGACAATAAAACCGTAACTTTGCAGTATACGATGCCATATTGCCTTACTATATTTACGTACTCTATGAAACTGAATAAGCTAAATAATTAGGTTTTTTTCTATAGTTTGGTTTGTAAGGGTTAGTTATGTTTTTACGAGTTGATCACGGACTGATATCAGTTAGAGAACCATTGAAAACCAGCATAGGAGTACTGGACAGCTGCTGTTTCATCCTAGTTTTTTGGGAATCATCGGTAGTACGCACCCACCACCAGGGTTCGAACCCAGGACCTTCCGGTTACAAGGCAAGCTCGTATACCATTCAGTCACTGGGACCCGATTCAATTGCTCATGAATTCTAACTTCTACGAATTCGTGATTTAGCGCGACCCCAACCAGTGGGTGCGTACTGCCAATGATTCCCAAAAAACTAGGATGAAACAGCAGCTGTCCAGTACTCCTATGCTGGTTTTCAATGGTTCTCTAACTGATATCAGTCCGTGATCAACTCGTAAAAGCATAACAAACCCTTACAAACCAAACTATAGAAAATTAATCTGATGCTCGCTAGTGACTTGCTACAGGATGGAGTTTCCTGGAGTTCTTAGTGAGAAGTGGTGACCAGTGAGGTCCAATTAGATGTCACGTGTGTGGATGAATGTCCCACCAACGACAATGGTTGGGGTCGCGCTAAATCACGAATTGGTAGAAGTTAGAATTCATGGGCTGGCCATTGAATTGGGTCCCAGTGGCTGAATGGTATACGAGCCAGCTGGTCTTGTAACCGGAAGGTCCTGGGTTCGAATCCCAGTGGGTGCGTACTGCCGATGATTCCCAAAAAACTAGGATGAAACAGCAGCTGTCCAGTATTCCCTGGTTTTCAATGGTTCTCTAACTGATATCACTCCGTGATCAACTCGTGAAAACATAAATAATTAGGAATAAATTTTTTTACTAATAACAAACTTAATAAAGCCTCTCTCTCCCTCTCCTTTCCAGATTTGATCACAGATTGAGGTAAGCTACAGAGTCGTTGCAACACACACGAAATGAGTAGTGGATAGCTGTTTCGCCTACCTAGTGTAGGACTGTCCATCTTTACGCAGCCGACTGGGGCAGTCGAACCAAGAACCTTCAAGTTATGTGGACAAGCTTGTCGACTATTCCAACTGCTGGGCCAGAAATCTGATGGCACATCGATACTACTAGCACAGAATAGTAATATATCGAATAACAATATAGTTTTATTGCGTATTATAAGTCACAAGGAGTGGATGCATCTGCGCCAGTCATCACGGAGAATGATGAGTTTGAGCCGTATCACCAACTATCTTCAGCCCTCATTGGTTTTTTTTACCATCCTGATGACTCCAACCAGTCAGTCAGGAAGCTAGTCTACACCTCCCTAAGTGACTGGATGGCCGGTTGGCTGACTTAAACTACCTCTTGTGGATTTCATTGACTGATGAAGCCATGCTTTTGTTTGGCCACCAGTAGCTCTCTCTCTCTCTCTTCCAACCTGATTCATCCTATATCAGTCAGTTAGCACTGCCCATTGTCCAGAAAGGCGATGGCTAGGCATACGCAACACATGTCCTAACCATCTCAATCGATGCAGCTGGTTCACAATCTCGTCGATTGATTTCCCCTCCCGCCTACCTAGCACTCACTGGACGGATGCCTAACCTCAATATTGCTCACCCTATTATACCACTTCATACTAGAGATATAAATCAGGCACCTATTATCAAAGACATTTAGCCGGCCTCCTCATGTCTTCCACTTACAATGCTGGCCAAGTCTCACTCACAGCCATAAAGGAGGACAGAGCGAATTGACTGCTGAGGGGTACACACACACACGGCCTTTGGTCGACAGCCAGCCAGTTGGATATCAATCACGTCTACACACCAGAGACGGTGTAAACTGGCATATGTGCGAAACGGGCCTTCTGTATCCGTCGTGGTGAGATTTCGTCAGCGATCAACTCCGCTGACGTTGGCTGCTGATGCGACTTCCCAAATGAATGAAGTGGTCAACGCGCTCTACCAACACGACACCTGACCTAGAAATATTACTCGCCATATGATTTACCACTTAGCACAGGATGATTGTCTTGTTGCAGTCATTGACCATAGACTGACGTTTATTTCATGCTCCTTGAATAAGTTACAGTGGACATATATCACGATGACACACTCTCTCCTCTCAACTCTTAAATAACACTTGATAGTGTATGACGTGTGCTACTGACAAGATTTATCAGCAGTATATGCAGAGACGTTCATCTGCACAAAAAATAATATCAAATAGCGAAGAGATAGATTTGACATCAAAGACAGAGAGAGAGAGAGAAGAAATGAACAATTCCCATTCCTATTCAACTTCATCATAGACGTAATAATGGACTTAGCCCTAACACACTTCAGCGGCTCAGGGATTGACTTGCTACCAGGGAATAATCTCGTCGACTTAGAATATGCGGACGATATAGTCCTTCTAGGCGGGGACGCTGACAAAATGCGGAGTCTTCTGAACACCTTGAGCTGCAATCTTCGTATGTTTGGCATGCGATTCGCCCCTGTAAAATGTAAGATGATGCTGCAGGATTGGACTTCACCGACCCCTAGATTGGAAATAGGAAGTGAAGTGGTAGAGCACGTTGACCGCTTCACTTATTTGGGAAGTACCATCAGCCCCAACGGGTTGATCTCCGACGAAATCTCAGCACGAATACAGAGGGCTAGTTTCGCATATGCCAGTTTACGCCGCCTCTGGATGAGTATACGTGATATCCGGCTGGCTATCGAACAAAGGGTGTGTGTACTGCTCAACAGTTCGCTCCGTCCTCCTCTATGGCTGTGAAACCTGGCCATTGAGAGTGGAAGACATGAAAAGATTAGCTGTCTTTGATCATAGGTGCCTGCGTTCTATCTCCCGCGTGAAGTGGTATAACAAGGTGAGCAATATTGAGGTTAGGCATCGGTCGAGTGCTAGGTAGGCGGGAGGGGAAATCAATAGACGAGGCTGTCAAGCTACCTCGACTGAGATGATTAGGACATGCGTTGCGCATGCCTAGTCATCGCCTTCCTCGATAATGGGCAATGTTAGCTGACATAGGGTCAGGCTGGAGAAAAGCTAGTGGTGGTGGCCGAACCAAAACATGACTTCATCAGTCAATGAAATCCACAACAGTTAGTTTAAACCAGGCACGTAGGGAGATGTAAACTTCCTGGTTGGGGTCCTCGGGACGGTAAAAACCAATGGTTGGAAACAATTGGTGATATGGCTCAAACTCATCGTTCTCAATGGCTGGCGCAGATGCATCCACTCCTTGTGACTTATGATTTCCAATGAAACTGTTTTGTTCTTCGTCATTACTATACCTTTGTCTCACACCTCTGTTTACTGTCTCTATTATGCATTTCTTCTACTTTCTTTAATATTTAATAATTTAATAATTTTATGTTTTCATATAAACATAAATTTACATGAAAATGCATGCCATTTTTACAGGCACGATCAAGTATGATACAATGTCAAATAGTAGATTGTCTACAAGTTAGTAATGTTTGAACAGCTAAATATCTTCTCTTGCTTTGTGTGCTACATGGAGTGTGGCGACTTGAACTGCTGCACATATGTGCAAAGTTCTATGTCGACCAACCGAGTATTGCGGCGGCAAAACATGGGAGACACACGAAAAGAATACAAAGAAACACATAATACGCGAAGGAAGGGCAGAAGTAGCAAGCACAACATGGACCGATCCGATCTGTGCAAATGACGATTTTCTTATAGGGTTTGGCATAGTTTCGCTACATAGAGATACCAAATTCTAAAAATTCTCTTGTCTCCTACCGTCGCAGTACGACTGCCAATCAATGTGTCGTCGGCAAGTATTTGTTCACACACCCAACAAATTCGTGGACCACCCAACCCTACTGGTCGTAACTTCATCCCAGTTGAGACTTACAGGGCAGAGATTTGATTGATTTCGAGAATGAACAATGAGAATTGGCTTCAGTACTAATGCCAAGTCAAGCCAGTGCTTCTCTATGTGGTTCAGAGACTTGACATGAGTGTCAGATTTTTATCAACAGGTGACTTCCCTGGCACCATACTGAAGATCAGATGAGGGTTCAGAAAGAATAGAGAACAAGGAACTCTGAAGACAAACCAACAAACAATCTATCACCTAACAGACATGCGCAGAAGGAAATAGAGAGGAATCGGGCACAAGCTCATGGGACCATTCAGTGACATTATGCGTCGAATAGACCCCTGAGTGGAACCCGAATAGGAAAAGATGAGTTGGGCGTCGCGCCTCGATGGTGACATAGTGGAGATTATCTGAGGAGAAGGAGGAGGAAGAATCCCATTGTGTTCCATTCGGAACCCAAGAGGATAACAATAACGTAGGATTACAAACATATATACATATTAGATAGATTGAATGAGATAACTTACCCACGTTTTAAACGACAAAAATCAAAGGCCACTTCACGATAAGATGCTGCTTTTTCATCTAAATACTTTGCATAAGGTCGTAGAAATACAGAGATCCTGTGGGTTGCTAAAATAATAATAACAATAATAACAAACAAGAAAATATTGAAAATTGAGGAAGGGGAGGCGGGAGAAAGCGAAAAACACAACAGCAACAACAACATTTAACTGCATGTGACTACACGGGATACGCTTATTTGTGCACGCTATCGGAGGTGTGTGTGTGTGTAGCTGAAATAGTGGAGATGTGGTTTATTGGCATAAGCTGTTGACTTTCATCCAGTACATCCTGCCCCACAAGCACAGAGACTGGACAACTGGGTGGTATTATTTAACCCTCACACAAGAAATGTATGGCTCACATAGTCCAGGAATTGAGTTTGAGGGGCTCAAGCTTAGATAGAGCAAAACAATTGCTCGGGCGTTCTCTGGAGCTTTGATATTTTATCGTGAACACTTCATTATCAGGCTGGGTAAATTCATCAGAGTTAAACCTCATAAAGAGGCAAAGTATTCTGTCAGTGATACATAAACATTTATGCAGAATTTCTAGTTACTACAAGAACTGTCATCGAACAGATTCATGACAACTTCTTGAACTACTGATTCAGATTACCTTCTGGACGCCACTCCCGGGGAGGGTGTTATGATGTCCCGACAGATGCCAATCTAACACAACTACCCTTTATCCCACCACGGCAACAAGTTAGTTATAGGCTAAATAACTTCTCAAATTTTCCTATCTAGTCCCAGGACGAACAAATAGTGTACGGTATACGAGCCTCTGGGATGATATTCACGGTACGCGTCCAATTCACCGAAGCCGGTGGGTGTACTAAGATGACGCCACACTTACCGAAAGACCATCTGCATCATCATGTCTAAACACAATGTCATGAGATCTCAAATGCAAGCAATTCTACACAATTGATACATACACATCCTCAGCTTGGAGAAGCGAGTTTTCACCAGGATACACAGCATGACAGAATCCTAGAACACAACAAGATGTTAACTCTCTAGTGTGGTTTGCATGTTCATTATGGATAAGATTTTATTTTGATAAACCATACAGTGTTGTTATACAGTAATATTAACTGACGACCACGTTTCGAGCACAAATTATTCTTCATAATTATACCACGTCACTACTCACACAACTTTTTTCTTCATTTGTATACATAAGTGGAATTGATGATTAAATATTTGAATAAAATCAACAATATAAAATAAAGTACATTCAGAAATAATAATATGAGTGTTATCCATCAAATAAAATCAGATGGGAAATAAGGTGAGTGTTTTCTTTTTTAGTCATAATAAATAACTTGTTAGAATGTTGTGATTTGCTTGCATAGAAATAGAATTTTGAGATTATTTACTATCCTCCTCTGATTTGGCTCACTGGAGCTAATATCTTACATATCTCTAGTATTTGCATTGAGTCATTTCTGTTACATGTGTTGAGTGTAGACTCAATGAACCAGGATTCACTAATCTCCCTCTCTCTCCACCTACCTATATTACTTCTTAGAATTTTAACCCTCTCCCACCACCCTATTGTGTGGTTGTGTGCGAATGCATGCAGTGCAATGTAGTGCTGAGCTTTTTTCTAAATTATTCATCTTCTCAGGGTCAATCATTCTTAACTTAGCTAAGTTCTTATGTTCCGACAATCTGATTACCCCCGGCGCTCTTCACCAGGTTGACTTTCCATTGGATGACAGTCTAGGGGAGATGGCTAAACCCTGATTCCAAACCTCCAACGACTGGCGTATGAAGCTCACTGGAGCTCACCGGCAGACGTATGGACAAAGGGCTTGTTGGATGTCCTGGATGTCTGGCCCCATTCAAAAAGGCGTATGAACCGAACTCCGGTCACCGGCTGCCAATGGATAGTGGACTCCCTACTCCACTCCTACTGCCTTGTAGGTCACACTTGGTTGTGTAAAGGCTAGAGCTGCACTCTCAAACAAAAGGCCGAGCGATTCTGGGGACATCACTCGTACCAAATTCCCATGAAACTTCATGAACTCTCTTACAAACGTGGTACAGTCAAGGCTGATATGGAGTGCCTGGGGCTACAAACCGTCTACGGACTCCATCTGTCGAACAAGAATTGGAAAACCTTGTCGCAAAACCTTGCATCAGATCGCTGTGCCTGGGCAGCGATGATTCGAGATGTTCATGAAGCCGGGTCATCCTCCCGTAGGAGACAGACGAAGTAAAGTAAAGTAAGTATATAGTTGACCTAAATCACGGTCATTGCAAGGTATTTTGTAAATAATATTATTTGGTTTAATTGGGTCAAACGACAGGGTCTTTTAGCCTACAGAGTCTACGCCGAACAAATGCAACAGAAATGACTCAACGCAAATACCAGAGATATGGAAGATATTATTACCACTAGTCAGTCAAATCAGAGCAGGATAATAAATAATCTTAAAATTCTATTTCAATTCACGCACATTACGACATTCTAACAAGTTACTTATTTTGACTATAAAAACACTCGTTTTATTTCCCATCTTATGGTACTTGATTGATAACACTCATATTATTATTTCTGAATGTACCTTGTCTTATATTGATTTTTATCCCAATATCTAGTCAATTCCACACATGTATATAAATGAAGCAAGAAAGTTGTGTGAGTAATGCCTTGATATGATTATGAGCAATAGTTTGTGCTCGAAACGTGGTCATCAGTTAATATGACTGTATAACACCACTGTGTGATTTATCAAAATATTGTAATACACGCTGAAAACTCCATACATATACCATAAATACTGTTTGGAATAAAGCTATTATTATTAAAAATCTTATCCGTAATGGAGTTATACTCTTCCACAGTGCCCAAGTTTTGTGCTTATATCAGGTTTGCATGTTATTGCAAGTTGTCAACCGGTTTGTATCAATATTTAACTATTACTGGGGTCAAGTGGAAAACTAGAGCCCAACTCAGAGTGAAGCAGAATATACAAGGGTATCGTGCTAGTCCTCCTCCCCTCCTAACCAGAACATTATCTAATTCTTGAAATACTAAAAACGACGCACAAGGTGATGCACGACTAACTGAATAAGTTTCAAAATAGAACTTAAACACAAGTGTAGCAGTTCAACTTGTGCCACACTTCATACAGAGCTGCTGCTGGCTGGATTCAACATAGAACTTGACACCGAAGTGCAGCAGTTCGAGTTGCCACGTTCCAAATAGCTCCAAATGAGAGAAGAGAATCAATAGAATTTAGATAATTATAAGGGTGAAACAGAATGAGTAATGATAGAAAGGAATATGAAAGATTACAGAGACTGAATACATCTGCGTAAGCCATTGACAACGATTTCGAGCCATGTCGCCTATTGTCTCCAGCCATTGATTCTTGAGTCCCGAGGGCGGGCCCCAATCCGGAAGTCTGCATCTCCCTCCCTACCTGACTCAGTTTAACTGTCAAGGATTTCATGGATTGATGAGGCCATGTTTTTGTTTGGCCACCACTTTTACTCTTCCAACCTGCACCTATATCAGCTGGTAATGCCCGTCCGTCGGGGGAGGCGATGGTTAGGCATGCACAGCACGTGACCTAGCCATCTCAATCTATGTAACTTTATAGCCTCGTCGGTTGATTTTCCCTGTTTGCCCAACACTCTACGCCTATCGTCAACATTACTTACCTTATTATACCACCACCTAACTTGAGAAAGAGATCGTAGACATCTATGATCAAAAACAGCCAACGTTTTTATGTCTTCAACTCGTATTGGCCATGTTTCAGAGCCATAGAGCACACAAATATATACAGAGAAAGAGAGACGGGAAAAAAAGATTCAAAAGAATCAGAGGGAGGATAAATGCACAGAAGAAAGAACAATTACACGTAACAAAATATAAAGACTTAAGAGATCTGAGGGATCATACAAAGAGTACTAAGTGCGTTTGTATCATTGACAACAGTTTTGAGGCATATCACCAACAATCTCTCAAGCTATATTTGGTTCTTAACATCTCAAGGTACCCAATCAACCCAGTCTACACCTGTCTATGTGACTGGTTTAAACCAACAGTCAAAGACTTCATCGACTGATGACAGATTTTGATAATGACTACCTCTAACTCTTTCCCAATCTAACCGCATGTGACTCCATTATGGAGAAGATTTTATTTTGATAAACTGTCACACAGTGTTGTTGTACAGTAATATTAACTGATGACCACGTCTCGAGCACAAACTATTGCTCATGATCATATCAAGTTACTCACACAACTTTTTTCCTTCATTTATATACATGTGTGGAATAGATTAGATATTGGAATAAAAATCAATATAGGATAATGTACATTCAGAAATAATAATAATAATAATATTAGTGTTATTGATCAATTACAATCAGATGGGAAATAAGACGAGTGTTTTTATAGTCATAAAAAGTAACTTGTTAGGATGTTGTGACATACGTGAATTGAATTGAAATCGAATACAATTTACGATTATTTATTATCCTCCTCTGATTTGACTGACTGATGGTAATAATATCTTCCATATCTCTGGTATTTGCATTGAGTTATTTCTGTTGCATGTGTTAGGTGTAGATTCACTCGATGAACCAGGATTCAGTAATCAACCCGTGTCTCTATCTCCACCTACATAGATTACTTTTTAGAATTTTAACCCTCTCCCACCCTATTTTGAGGTCGTGTGATTCTTTCTAAATTACTTATCTTCTTGGGTAGGGTCAATCATTTTAACCTTAGCTAAATTCTTATGTTTCGACAATCTGATTACCCCCGATCTACTAGTTTGACCTATGTAGTTGACCTCCTTCACAGTCATTGCAAGGTATTTTGTAAATTATATTATTTTGTTTAATTGTGTTTACCAGGTCTTTTAGCCTACAGAGCTTGTCCTACCTGAGTGAGTTTGTAGGTTTAAATGCCACCCTAATACCTGCTTTATTGAGAATCCTACGTAGGTTCTCAGATGTCCCCTCCTTATATGGTATAACAGTAGATGCCTTATATTCTCTCTTATTTATGTTATCATTACTAGTTTTCCATGTGAGCTA